GGTGCGAGGGCAGTGTGGGCAGTGGAGGCGGGTGCGGTGGGTGTAGGTTGGTGCTCCAGGCATTGGTTCGCCAGTCTCTGTGCGATGGATTCGCAAGTGACCGACCAGGCCGATGCGAGATATGAATGTGCGTGGAGAGTGTGGGCAGGTAAATTCGGTGGTGTCGGTGTTAGATGCGGGAAGGGCGGTGGGGACGCAGGATGATGAAGTGGGGGTGGGGTTTGGCATGATGGATGAGTCGGTATTGCGGCCAATTCCGCTCTCGTGAATGCGCATGTGGCCGAATAGACCCATGCGATGCCGTGTCGAAGGCTTTCGTCAGATCCACGAAGATAGAATACAGATGGGTCTGCATTTCCTGGCACTTCTTCCGAAGTTGACGGGCGGCGAAGATCATATCCGTGGTCCCGCGATGACGGCGGAAGCCGCACTGGCTTTTCGGCAGAAGGCCCTGTTCCAGATGGTTATTGAGGCGGTTGAGGAGAATGCGAGCGAAGAATTTCCCGACGATGTTCAGCAAGGAGATGCCGCGGTGATTGTCGCAGACTTGGCGATTCCCTTTGCGCTTGTATAGGTGCACGATGGTGGCGTCTTTGAAATCTTGCGGGACTTCGCCTTGACGCCACATCTCCTGGAAGAGCTCAGTCAGGTGATCCATGAGTTGGGGACCTCCGTGCTTGTAGACCTCGGCAGGGATTGCGTCCGATCCGGATGCTTTCCCGCTGGAGAGCTGCTGCACGGCCATGATGGTTTCCTGGAGAGATGGCGGGAGGTCGAGGTCCACGTTGGTCGCCACTTGCGGCAAGCGGGCGATGACGGCGTTTGAGATTGCGGAGGGGCGGTTGAGCACGCCTCGAAAATGCTCGGCCCACTGCTGTAGAATTTGTGTCTTCTTGGTCAGGAAGGTACGTCCATCAGCGCTGAGGAGAGGAGCAGTGCCCTTCGTCGGCGAACCGTAGACAGCTTTGATCGCAGAGAAGAAGTTCTTCCATTCGTTGCGGTCCGCGTACCCTTGGATCTCCTCAGCTTTGCGGGCTTTGGTGGTATCAGTGGCGTGATCTACGTAGGCTGTGTGTAGGCGGTTCTTCTCGGCGAGCAGGTTGTTGATGACGGCGTCATTGTTGTCGAGCCAGTCCTGGTGTTGGCGGGGAGCGCGACCGAGGACGGCGAGCGCCGTCGACTGGACCGTGTCTCGCAGTTGACACCAGCGGTTCTCCACGGACGCGATAGGAAGGTTGTCTAGCCGTTGAGCTAGCTCATTGCTGAAATAAAGATGGTGAGCGGGCAAAGACAACAAGGCAACATTCAACTTACCTGGGGGTCGCTTACCTTGTGGTCTCCTGCGAGGCTGTAGGCGAATACGAATCTTCCAGATGACGGGGCGACGGTCAGTCCACCCATCAGCACCCGCTATCGCCTTTGTCACCAGCACGTCCCGCTGATCTCGCCTCCGGACGAGGACATAGTCCAGCAGATGCCACTGACGCGACCGAGGATGCCTCCAGGTGGCCTTCTCTCGTTCCGGCAGGGAGAAGAACGTGTTCATCAGGATGAGGCGGTGTTTTGTGCAGGTACCGAGAAGGAGCAGGCCACTGTTGATTGAGCCGCGGAGACCATGGGGGCCTAGTACACCCATCCAGGCAGCATGGTCTGTGCTGACGTGGGCGTTAAGGTCCCCAAGGACAATCAACTTGTTCGCCTTCGACACAGTCGCCAGGAGTTCGTGCAGGTCCTCGTAGAATTTGCCCCTTGTGGCGTCGGGGTTGGTCATCGGCGGAGCGTAGACGCTGATTATGTTTGCGAATTCGCCTCGCGAAGAGGCAGGCGGAGGCTCACCAGACGATCGTTAATGCTCTGCAGCAGACATGGCAGTTGTTCCACGATGCTGTTCTGGATGGTAAAGGCGAAACCCGTGTTTCGTCGCTTTGCCCTGGGGCGACCGCTCCAGATGAAGGTGTAGCCGGCACCCGCGTCCTCTCCTTGGCCTTGTTCAGAGAATCGGGTCTCGCTGAGTGCGGCGATGTCCACCTTGTAGCGCGCCAGTTCCCGAACCACTAGCGCTATCCTTCGTTCCGGTCGGTTGCTCCTCGGATTGTCTAAAAGGGAACGAACATTCCAGGCTGCCAGAGTGAGCGGACTCATCCTGCCAGTCTGGCAATTTCGGCGGTGAAAAGGAGGAGGGCAAGAATGAGAATAGGCAGGACGAGGAAGAAAGAGATTGGCGCTGTTTCGACCGTGTGTTTCTCGTCTGCGACCACGGTCAGCCTACAGACAGCGTGGTCCTCAGCAATTTTTAGGGCACCTTTTCTAGCCCCCTCCCTCTCGCGGGGGCAGGCAGCGCACCCCCTAAATAGGGCTGTCCGGTTATCCCAGACGGCTGCCGAACTCCACTATGGACCACGACATTTTGTTAGTGAGAGAACGATCCGAATTAATCTGCGACCTGCGGGGGAGGGGCGGGGAAGGAACTAAGCAGGAGAGAGGATAGACACGACAGAGCGCTATGGGACTAACAGTTAGGATGGACAAACAGACATAGTTAGCAGGCAGGGTCAGAAGTAGCAGAGCATCATTCGAAGTTAAGCACAGTAACACCTAGCTATTAGCAGAGAGAAGCAGAGACTAACAGATACAGAGCTCTCCTAACCATGTCTTGCCACTTTCGGGGTTAAATAGTAATTTAAGCCTAAGTATATTTGTCGTTTATTTCTTTGTCTGGCCACTAAACAAGTAGGTGTCAGGGGAAATAATCACCTATGGAAGAAATGAAAGTATGAACAAATTAGTAAATCGTAAAAATTTCACTGTTTGGAGAAGCCTTCCTAAGGTCCTCCCACACATGACCTCAGAAGCTTATAGTCGCATGGTATTGCAAAGTGGTTTTGTAAGTTCCGCGTCTGAATAAACATCGTGACAATCCTCGGTGCTCTTCACGGTCGTTACCAGTGATAAAAGAAAAACAAACTGTGCCTTATCTTATAAATCACTGTTCCTAGTTTATAGCGAATATCGAGGCCCTATTAGTTGGTAAAGTCAAGCACCTTTTAAATTAATATAATTAATCATCCCGTTCAACAAACAGTGATTGAGGTCACGCATCAGTGTGTCGACGGAAGTCAACGATACTGCAATCGTTTATTTAAAAACGGCGAGGGTATGGTATATAACCCCATTGCGGAGACGGTAGTTAGCTATAATCCTAACGCCGACCGTCTGTAATGGGCAACCCTTCCCCTTGTTCTTGAACTCGGATGTTACCTTAACCTCAACCAAAGCTCTAAAACCCTAACCCTTAAAGCCTAACTCTAAACTCCTAACCCTAAACCTAATCCTTGAGCCAAGCCTAATACTCTGACCCGAAACCAAAACCCCAACCCTAGCAATCCAAATTATAACCAAAATCTGGCTAGCCTAACCCTAGGCATAACCTAATCCTAACACCAACTCTAACCTTGGGCATGATACGGGCAACTTAAAAGTCAATAATGCCACTGAA